AAGGCTAGCACTCTACCATTTGAGCCACAGCTCACAGACTTTTCTGCCCAGCCTGGCTTCAAAGCATGATCTTCAGATCTCAGCCTCCAGAGTAGGGTTTCTAGGGATGAGCCATCTCTACCTGACCAGGTTTTTGTTTTTGTTTTGTATATGATAAATTATTTATTTATTGTATTAAAAACAAGGTTTAATCTACATAAGATGTCTAAAACGATCCTCTTGAGATGTTGAACTTCTACCATCTGTGAGAATTCCTTTTTGGTTTATTTTTAGGTTCACAATATATGCCTAAATCTTTTCAGAGGACAACTTTGACTTCAAGGAAGAGGTTCCAAGTGGCATCTTGATACTGTGTGTCCCAGAGTTATGGACTTACTGGGGCCTTCAAAAACCCAACCCACAAGTATTATACTATATATCTATTAATCTGCTTGTCTTACATTCTGACATGTGAGACTTCCTGAGAGAAATGTAAACCAATATGTTAACATAATGTTTTCACTGTACAGAGAATAAAAGTTGAAATGACTAATCTTTTCTGGTAGGTTCTTCAGACTTTGTTCAGAATACCCTAGAATATCTTTAAGTCCTCTCATTTGATCATCAGAAAATTCATATGATCATTCATTTGCAGGCTAAAAATATATAGGCATGTTAAATAATAGCCACTTTGTAATTTTGTACCTTGATTTAAATTCTTTTTGGTTCCTATTCTCTAATTCATCAAAACACAGATCACAAGCAGATATACTTCTTTAAAAAATAGTAAATTCATATTTGAGACAATCTGTCCATTTGAAAGAGATGCTGTTTGTTTTAATCATTGTGCTGAGTTTCTTTTTTCTTTTTTCTTTGGGTCCGGTCATGGGGCCTGAACTCTGGGCCTGGGTGCTGTCCCTCAGCTCTTCAGCTCAAGGCTAGTGCTCTACTAGTTGAGCCACAGCATCACTTCCAGTTTTTTCTTTTTGCTTATGTGGTGCTGAGGAATCGAACCCAGGGCCTCATGCATGCAAGGCAAGTGCTCTACCACTGAGCCACCTTCCCAGCCCTGTGCTGAGTTTCTTATACCTTTGTGTCAAAGCACCCCTGAACCTCTGTGAGGAAAGTCAGTGGCTAATTGGGAGCTACTATTGTGTGAAAACACAAGGGTAAAGTAGCTTTCATTGTCAAATTCAGACAGTCCATTTCAAAAACATGCCACATTTGTTGATACTTAAAACTGAATATAAACATAATTAAAATCTGGGGCACATAGTTGCCTGTTCGTTATGTTAGGTGCAATGTCCACTTACTAGAGGGTTTACTTTCAGCTTCTTCTTCCCCCTCTTTCCAGCCTCGCTTCCTGACCAATGTTCAGATGATATCTCTGACACCTGCACCCTCTGTTTTCCCCAACCTTTGCTCAGATGACTCCTCTGATCCCTTAACCTCTGTCCTCTTGCTCTGCTCTTCTCTCTTTCTCCCTTCCTTCCTTCCTTCCTTCCTTCTTTCCTTCCTTCCTTCCTTCTTTCCTTCCTTCCTTCCTTCCTTCCTTCCTTCCTTCCTTCCTTCCTTC